TAAATGTGGTCATGTCTGGTATTATAATTGGCTAAGCATAATGTGGTCCGATGCTGTTTCAATTGAAATCATTTAATGACGCTCTTGAATTTGCTAAGTGTGGTTATTGTATACGGCTACCGTGCCGTCTAATTTAGAAATGGATGTGCAGAATTATTAATACTGTTGGCATTTATTCAAGTTAAAAGAATCTACATGTCCGAAATATAAATTTATCTATATTTTGTTTAGATATTTTAATTACTTTGTAATTTAAATTAGTTTTTTTTGGAAACTTGGTGCTTTTATTTGTATAACATTACATAATGTGTAAGGATATACCAGAAGTTAAATTTAAGTTTTGGCGAGTGGTGAGTATTGCTTCAAGACTAGAAAAACATAGCAAGCTACGGAGAAATATTTCATCTAGGACAGCGCCCTGGGAAATATCTCCAATCCACAAGGACATTTTCAGTCATATTATTGTGTACGATCTGACAACTAATTGACTGGGGCAAAACCAGGAATCTTATTTAGGCGATTTTACTTCTTTCTGTAGTTTTATACAGAATATCGTCATGCTGGTTTAAATGGGTAAAATTTGAGATGATATTGTGAAACTGTAATGTTCCTCACAGAGTAATTGCCTACCAACAGTAATATGTCCTGGCTCACTATTAGTGATATTTGGGCAGAAGGCAGCTGCTGAAAAATTACAACAAACGAGGTCCTCCATCAACATTTTTGCATCACGCCCTTTGGTTACATTGTACATCAACACTCTCACACAACGGCTTCTATATAGAAAAACAGGTAAACAAGTTATTGTAATGCTAAGTGAAAATGTCAAACCTCATTGACGGTGCTGAACGTTACCTTGCATAAACCGTAAATTGCAATTGATCACAGTGTGATGATGCATTGTGGAATATTGAAAAAAAGCCCGAAGCATGTGCACTGCGTACACAATATGCTAATAACGTTAACGAGGTCATGACGTAGACATATCTAATAAATATTATTTTAAAGAGCAATTACTAACAGAAAGCACGTATTATAAAACGCTGGAACCACGTTTATTTGGTCTTGACGTGCACTCTATCTGGGGTTAATATTTCTATCAAACTAAACTGGTCACCAAATTTATTAAGTGTCTCCGCGTTTTACACTGTTTACCGGCGTGAGCGTTGGCAAGCCTAACTATAGGTTTCGATTTTATACAGTGCTACTGCTGGTTGTTCCCAGATCCATGAGTTAAGATTTAATCTGTCGAGGGGGTACTGCAGCCTGTCAAGATGTTAGCTACTGTAGCTCCTGTTTATTGCAATAAAAAGATGACTTGCCAATTTGACCTTCATGACAGTGAAGTAACGCTACTGTCTACTAAGAAGATCTGCTCTCATTATGATTGCTACTAGGTTCGCATGCAAATAACAGAATATACGTTTTAAGAAAGTTACCATCAATGTTATGTATTGTAATGTCAATCGGCGTTACGTTTGCTAGATAGTATGAATTGGTTGATGTTAAGCTGTCTCTCCCAATATAACAATGATTGATGTTGTAAAACTTGCACAGGTAAATAACGAAACACTTTTTCGTATGATAAAATGTTGCTGATACTGAAGATTATGTCAATGATGAACTGTGCAATTTTTTATAGATTTATTTGCATATTTAAAGATTCAGTTTGTCCATATAAATAAATTGTCAATGTGTTCATTGATAAAGTGAAGTGCTCGACGTATAACGCGTGTTTTATTTTCAAAAACTGTATATAGTCTATCAATGCCAGGCAATAGTCATTAACCGCTCATTAATGAAGCAGACAGCCTTGTCTAATTTTCGCCAACTAGGTGTTTCTCATCTAGCAATTAGGGGTTATACTAACAACAGATTGAGAGAGAAAAAAGTATTTCCATTCTCCGTGATCAACAAGTCCAAGATTGTTGCTGCGTTATCATATCAAATCTACGAGCTAACTATGCTCTAAATTTAAAAAAAAAGTTAGATATTAAATTTAGTATATTTTCTATATTGTTAATTATTATGTTTAAGAAACCAATGTACTCGTAAATAAACATTAACGAATCGCATAGCATGTTCATCTCGGGATATAAATTTAATTATACAACCTACTGATATAAACACAGTGTTTGTCATCAGTGTGCAGTGCTTTATGGAGTGGAAGTTGTCCGGGGAAGTCGTCAGGTTTCCGGTTTAATGTCCATGGAGAGTTAATTGTATACTGTTAGTGAATGTACAGCTATTTGAATGTCTCTCAATACATACCCTAGCAATTGTTTTTCTTGTTCTGTTGCTTGTTCGAACCATTTGATACAGCTTCTGGTACTAAGTTGTGTATGTGCCCCATCCATATAGTATGTAACATTTTCACGTTTTATGATCTGTGAACGTGCTGGCCAGAAACAGTTTCGTAGTCCTGAATGATAAATGATAAATAAATAGTTAATAAATATCATGTTGAAGAATCCATTCACGAATTGAGAATTATTGAGAAATAAGCCGACATATTTTAACATGTTAGGTCCTTGTACATTCAGACTGTTTTAGAAGTGTTGTTACAAGGTTCCCCCCAGAACGAAATGCTGTACTGCTGAAGAGAGGTCTTCTCTGGTAATAAATAATGAGCATGATCATCATGACTAAATATTTGGATTGGGGAACAGGTAAAGTAAAATTGCACCATTGGGTTGATTAGTTATGTAATGTAATCTATGAGATTAAGTCGACTGTATATTAAAATATTGCAAATCTTACCATTTTTAAAGGTGTCTGGTAACTTGAATGCTGGGGCTGTTAAGGTATCCACGATGTCGGTGTGAACTATTTCGAAATCTGTTTTTCTACCAAGGATATCTAGGAAACACAGTGAAGATAACATGTGATTTAGAAGAAAGACATGAATATAATATCATGCCTATAGTTTAAATAATGCTGACCTCTGTGCATTATATTGATGAAGTTGCCAGTTCTTACATTAGCATAACAATCTACTGACAAATACTGCATATTTGTAAAATCTAAATTAATAGGACTATAATAATAATGACTATAAATAATTGTACTTATTCTCAGGAATATTAACAATTATATGTTTGAATAACGTCTTAATAGCATTATTCATCTTATAATTAACAGAACTGTGGTTAGTTTTGTATATCATGACATAATACTTGAAACTACATAATTTGTTCTCTTTAATTGAAGTTGGAATATACTATTTTTTTTAAATATGTAATTGTATCAGCACTAAGTTAACGAAAACACATACTTGCTTCATGCTCTTCGATCCATGTACGGCATAACTGTATTGCTAATGATGCATTTCTGTGTTGATGCTCTCCTTGTATACCTAGCTCTATAGCTTGTTCTTGCCAATCGTAGTCACCCAACTCAGGTACGATTTGAAGTGGTGCCTGTCAGTATGAAACATCCATTAACATATTTTATTTGATGACGATAAGTATTAGTACTTGAACAATCACAAATTATTATTTGATAATAACATGACAGAATTATGAAGAGCTTTAGGACATTTCAAAAAGACAAACCTCTACCACAGATAACTCCACTCTATTGTATCATTCATATCTCTCCTAAAATCCAATTGTTTGGTTTATGTTTCAAGAAACCCCTTCTTTATAATTAAGAACATTCTTTGTGAACTTTATGAGATATCTGGCAATAACTACATGATGTAAATGTCAACTAACCTCTTAAAGATTGGGGCATTTTTTTTCAATACAGAGGCACCCCTTCTGAATATGTCATTGGTATGTAAATTTATTTCTTTTTAATTTATAAATTGAGTCCTAGTGTCACTTTTCCGTTTTTGAATTGTAGACATTCTTAATAAATTAATAAACAAGTTATATAACACCAATCACTCATACATTAGATAATTTTTAAAAAAGCTTATCCAAATTCACCACATGGCTTGTTTATTCAAATCCGAGTCTCACTTTTGTTATAAAATAAAAGCTATTATTAAGATGATTATATCATCTGCACTGCACATAGTGGTTTTAAGAAGTGAATATACGACAATCAGTGAATCACGTCTTATCAAGCTCGTCTTTTACATGTTTTTAAGGTAGATATGTACTACTATTCGCCATGTCATTCTATAGAACTTAACAAGTGATGCAGCGAATTATCAGTGGAAAGTAGTAAAATGGGGACTAATCATTTGATATACAGTACTAGATATTACATCACCATCATATGGGTTTAGTGGCACCAGACTTTTTTTAATTTGAAGCAGGGGCTTCATTGCCTCACGGTCCCTTTTACACAATATGTTACTAGCAAATTTAAAATTCTCATCGCAACCACGATGTAGTAACCACAACTTAAATCCCGATTTGCCATACATCACGCATACCCACTGATTGTAATACTATTTCAATAACATTTTGTTCTTGTTCTGACTGGGAATGTTTGGTGCCATTACCTCATGCTTCAATTTTTTTGTTTCATTTTTAGTTTCGTTTTTGGCTACAATCCAGAAATGACTAGATTGCATCGGAGTAATATAGTCAGACAATAACCATTATTTCTGATAATTAATTTCAAACTATCTATAATATTGTATAGTACAACTTGGACGTCTTTTACTAATCTTAATTAATCTTTTACCTCCCAAATCTAACCGTCTTTAATTCTGAAATTTGACAAAACATTAAGAAACTAACAGTTGCCTATGCAATGTCTGGCATTTGTATCTCAAATCATTGCAATTATTGGATTCTGGTAAACTATCTACTGTTTTTGATAATTTCTCACAATTCCCTGTACTGTCATAAGTATGTCAGGATGTACCATTAATTATAGAAACTGGTGATACAGTTTTATAAAATGCATACATACGTGTAGTTCTTTTGCTCTTGCAATTATAGTATCGGTGGCTTCTTTTGACTGTGGGACTGTAAAAGCTGGTCGACCCGGCTAAGGGATAACATAGTTGAACATTTAAAAATGTTTAAAGTCATCCATTCATCAAATATCAAATATATAAAAAGTTATTGAATATATTAAACATTATGAAATATTGTAACGTGGTAGTATTAACACAATGAACATTGAAAATTATGCATACATGGTGCAAAATTTGTTTTTCTTAATTGCTTTTTAAATTGATCAAACCATTATACAAAGATTATGACACCTGATGTTCCTACAATTTACAAATTGTTTGCCTACCTTGCATATACCGGCTTTATGCCAAGCTATTTTATCTAGCGTGTTTCCCAATATTTGAGTATGATCAAAGTCCACTAGGTTAATTCCAGTGACAGTTGGACGTCTCACCAAGTTAGTACAGTCGTAGGTGCCTCCCATGCCCACTTCCAAAATGACAACATCAACCTACAATGATAATCAAAAATACATAACATATCAATACAGTACAATACAATGTTTTGTCAATATCATGTGACCGTAATATATGTTTAGTTAAATTGTTTTTATATATTGTTTTTCTGTTATGTCAATAAAAATAGAAAATTGCTGAATGTGAAACGTGATATAATGTTGTAGCTCCCAATAAATTGAGTCGATAGTACACCATGATATATATTTAACTTTCACAACAAAATAGACATTTCTAGAACTGGGCGTCTCAAGCGCTTTTTGTTGAATGAATTAATCAGCCGATTAATGTATGAATCGATCAAATTAGTCACGAGTATTACTCGGTACTCATTCATTCGAATAAGCATACTATTGTATAATACGTTCGCTGCATGTTGATATTTCTAATAATACATGTTAAAAATGAAAATGACATGGGTGCCTTCTTAACTGCAATAACACAATTTTCCAGCGTTTGGGCAGGTAATTCTAAAATTTTAGCAATTCTCCCTAAATTTTAAACTGTTACGTTTTTTGTGTTTTTTCACAATTTTTGTTTTAGCCATCATAGGAAAATGAAATTTATTCAATCCAATTTTTTGTTTGTAAAAGTCCAATGCAGAATATTTATTGAAGTAGATTGTGAATATTTTCACCAGACCAACAAGCACGTAAGCATTATTATTATACATCTGTCACCGTAACGCAATAAGTTACAGCGTGTCGTAATTTTGCGGTATCTTACGGGGTATTTTCACCCTACCATATAAGGAAATGCAAATTCTAAATATGGAAAAATTACGCGCGTAAGCGTCCTCTAATAATAAAAACAAGCATGGCTGCCACCAGGGTTTGACCGGACTCCAGACAAAGAAGTTCGCTGATTTCGGCATTCCCGGGATGTATCCTTGGAACGAAAACATGTACAATGATAAGGTTATTACGAGGATACCTCAAAAACTATGCACCCAGACAGTATGCCGTCGCATCGAACTCTGCTGCGCGTCGGTCGATAGTTCCGCTGTACTGTCTTCATGCATACTTTGAGGTATCCTCGTAATAACCTCATTTATTAGGCTTTCGATGATTTTCTGCATCGAAAGCCTTTTGTAATTGTAAAGTCTTGTAACTCTTCTTCTCAAAGACGGCTTGCCCACTTGACGTAAAACTTTACAGAAATAATCTATATGCAATTCTCTAAAACTTCAAAGTTTCCGATTTTTGATATGTGACGTCATTTGGCCGCCATTTTGGATTATAGGCCGAATTGCACACATTTCTGAGGGTCTGAGTGCTCCCAGTTTTTTATGGTAGCAGCAGTGGAACAAGGGCTACAAATATTATCAAAAAAAACTTTAGCGGTCACGTGACTTTTTTTACTAGTTCAGAATTTTTTTTTTGCATCTCATTTGCATATTTTTTTGACTAATTCACTAACCCTGCATATATTTTGAAAGTTCAAATGCCATAGTATTTATTTTTCCAAACGGTTTCTCCAGGCGACGAGCCGTTTTTTAGAAAATGATTTTAGAATGTTTTTTCAAATTTTTTTTATTGTACCATGCAAAGCATCATGGGAAAGGGGGGAGGGCCCTGTACATTCTGTTTGAAATATCCCAAGCACTATCACAGATAGGTACATGCAATCAGTGCAATATTAAAGCTATGGGATAAGAGATGTGACTAACACAGTAAATGACCATATATGGTCATGTGACCTCATTAAATATGCAAGTCCCTAATATCTCAAGTACTATTCCATGTACAAACATGGAACGAACGTTACATTGAAGACAATGGACAAGAGAATTAACTAAAATATTTGTTGACCATATATGGTCATAGAACTCATTAAATATGCATGTCTCTAAATTCTCAAACACTAGTGCATATACAAACGTGGGAGTAGCGTTATATTGAAGGCAATGGACAAGAGAAATGGGTAAAATGTTCACTGACCATATATGGTCATAGAACTCATTAAATATGCATATCCCTAATATCTTGCAAGTACAAACATGGAACCAATGCTATATTGAAGGCATTGGAAATAAGAAATGGCTAAAATGTTCAATGACTATATATGGTCATAGAACTCATTAAATATGCATATCTATAATATCTCGATCACTATTGAAGTTAGAGATATGAAAATAACGCCATATTGAAGGCATTGTACAAGAGAAATTGCGAAAATGTTCAATGGCCATATATGGTCATAGAACTCATTAAATGTGCATATTACTAATATCTCAGGCACTATTGCAAGTACAAACATGGAATCAATCCTATATTGAAGGCATTGAACAAGATAAATTACTAACATGTTCAATTACCATATATGGCATATAATTCATATAATGTAATCAGTTCACCATGCTGTGACTAGATCAACATACATTGTGATAGATTTGCCTATAGTATATAGTAAACGGATCACAGTACATGTCTCCATTACCCTAGATATCATAGAAGTGTAATGTCATAACTCTGTTGCATAAATGCAATTCAGCGCTAACACAGGCATAGCATCGAAAGCCGGTAATCGCTGCTTGCAGCTATATTTATTATTATTATTATTATTATTATTATTATTATTATTATTATTATTAGTGTTATTATTATTAGTAGTAGTAGTAGTAGAAGTAACTTTTCAATCGCAGTCAGACAAAAACAACAACGCAACTTAACTAAGAAACAATAACGTGAACGTTAAACAAAGAGGTCCTTCAGGTGGACCAGACTATCTGGTTCTCACCACAAGGGGTTACGATCCCCCCTACCAATCCCTAAGCAGAAATAAAACACACTACAATGTTTAAAAAACTACGTGGACCACACTACTGGTAAATAACTGACTACAAGGAAACGTGTTGTTATAAGGTTCTTTATTAAAAGTAAATGGGATCATAAGATCAACGTGGCAGCATGTGAATACGTGTAACACCCTACGTAGCGTACTTGGTGCTCGATGACAGACTCACCGGGAAGTTCGTAACCATTAATATTATTATGTAAATTAGCTCTTTGTGTAAATCAAAAAACGCTCGACCAACTTTAGGTGATATAAAATGTAAATATCTCAAAGGTCCACATTGTTTTATGAAACCATTATAAAACATATATGAGCTGGAATGTACTAGTTAGGTATGCTAAGTGGTTAAGATCAAAATTCAAGCAGTAAACGAGAGCTGGAGGTGTTCTTGGTAACCATGCTAATACGACCAACCAACCGGAACGTTTTGGGGGAAGCTAACATTGAAGATAAGAATATATTATATTGACTACTAGTTATTATTATTACTTTTGTCACGTGTTTGGTTTTAATTGAAAATCCGCGTTATCTACTATAATTTCACGAGCGCAGTTCTTTCGATAAAACTCTTTGGTACTATTTTTGAAATGTGTTCCACGCACTGTAAAAGTGTTTCAAAATTTAAATTAATTAATAAAAAACATTACCACATAAACTGTTTTCCTTAAAACCGCAAATGAGCTATAGTATAACAGTATTGTTAGAAAAATAATATTTGTTTCTGTTTTGGTGTAAAATATTTAAAGTGTTTAAGCTTATCCCCAATATAATTCGCATAATTGTGTGATACAAACACCTGTGTCAGTGTTTTGATTGCAATATTTTGGGAATGATACTACAGTGTGTGTTCCAATCAGAAACACGTATTGAAAAATGTTATTGTTATTGTTGAAGTGTCTTTACTAGACATACATTTTTGAAAAGTGTTTGCATCAGGAGCATATATTGAAAAGTGCTTATTATCACAACACTTTTAAAAGTGTTTTACTAGGCTCATATTTTGAAAAGTTTTTCCACAAGTAGCATGTATTGGAAAGTGTTCAAGTAGGAGTGTGAGCTGAATCAGTGTGTATTTTTTAAAATTGAAACCTTTCGTGTAACTGTAGAATCAATGCCTAAATATTGTGAATATCAAACAATAGCATCTTCAAACGTTTTTCTTTTACATAAATTAAAATACCAAATTTTTTGCACTGTGGTATTTTTGCCTTTACTCTATTCTAACCCCATTTTCATATAATCCACAATTCTCTGTATGCTTAGTACGCACTACATCAATTTCATCTTATTCACCTTTCAATTTTCTATCCTTCCAATGGTTTGATTTCATCACATAAAAAAAATATCCCCTAAAACGGAAATGTGTGGTATTTTAAAATGGTATATATTTGCTAATATTTTATTTTTGTATTAACTATGCAGTCACAGTCAATAATAATCGTTGTGGTTATTATAGTTGCGTACCAAAGACTGTATACAAAAGTGCCCTGTACATAAACACCTTATGAACCATGCAAAGTCGGATATGTTAATTTGAAACAGCATATGTGTGCTTTTTCTGCAAAGTACTTCAAGATTAAAACAGGTTGACAGAAAACTGTTTTAGTAACTCCCATTACATGAATACAAATGTGTCTTATACATTAACACTTAGTAAAATATTTAAAGTCTAGGGTTTTGTGCTGAGACATCCTTGGTGCTTCTGCTTTCTGAAATACTGAAGTACAAAAACATGTAAGAATGCTGTGACGTGATTCGAACTACCACCACCATTTACGGAATGCAGATTGTCAAACCCCATTAGGCCATGTGTCTTTATTTCAAGTTGTACTTGTAGGTTGACAAATCCATATAATAGTACATAAAAGTATTTCCTTCACAATCTGGTGCTTGGAATGGTACTGATATGTTGCTAACTGATTTATGATCCGAACATCATAAAACATAAAACTATTTCCCCATGCGTTAAATTGTGTTTCTACCTTTGGTCGTATAGTTAGGTCAATAGCACATATGCCATAATGTTTAGCCCAGTTCCCATTTAAAGTCACAGACTATAGTTTTGTTTCACCCAATTGAGCTACTACTGCTGCCATAAAATTGATTGCATCCACGAATGCCCTATAGATAAACACTTTAATGACACATTTATGTCCCTGTAAACACTCAGTGTTTTATTTCGAAAAAGTGTATTTTTGTG